GTACCTTAAGTCTTTTAGCCAAGGCGGCCATGTTTGTTGATGGATCAAAACGTCGGATACAATTTATAAACTAAATACCCTAAGGAACATTCAATTAAAGTTTGAAGGTATTTGGCCCAGTAGTTTCAGAGGAAAAGATTCTTGAAATAGTTTTCGACGACGACGATGCCGACGACGTCGACGACAGACGACAGCAGACGACGACAGATTCTCTTGGATCAAACAATCAGGCATGCAATAAGTATGTGTTAGCTTTTTGTTCTTGGGACTCAGTCGTTGCTTCGGCTTTACTCGTCACATCTTTCACTTGTTGCATGACCCATAGCATCCGCACCGTGACTTGGATGTTTCAAGTTGGTAATACGATTGTCGTTCATGTTTAAGTCTTCCAGCAATTGACTTCTATTTATGTCTCTCTTTCCATAAAATCCAAATTTGTCTGTCATTTATTTGTAGCATCCAATGGAAAACACGACGTCATCAAAAGGTTGACCTTCCGACAAAAGTGTTTGGTTATTATCTTGAATATTATTGAAGATAAAGATAAAATGTAAACATCAAAAATGTTCAGCAAAGTAAGACCTACAAAAAAGTAATTTACCAAAGTTGTTAATTGACCCCTTATGGAGTTATTGCCCTTTAAAGAAAATTTTACATAATTTGTTCATCATGTTTGTTAACATTTAAAAATCTTCTCCTCTGAAACTACTTGGCCAAATACCTTCAAACTTTAAGTGAATGTTTCTTAGGGTATCTAGTTTAAAAATTGAATCCGAAGTTTTGATCCATCAACAAACATGGCCGCCATGGCTAAAAATAGAACATAGTGGTGAAATGCAGTTTTTGGCTTGTATCTCAAAAACTAAAGCATTTGTAGCAAATCTGACGTGGTAAAAATGTTTAATAGATCAAGATCTATCAGCCCTAAAATTTTCAGACGAATCGACCTATCCATTGTTGGGTTGCTGCCACTAAATTGGTAATTTTAAGGAAATTTTGCAGTTTTTTGTTATTATCTTGAATATTATTGAAGATAAAGATAAAATGGAAACAGCAAAAATGTTCAGCAAAGTAAAATCTACAAAAAAGTAAATTGACCAAAATTGTCAATTGACCCCTTGAGGAGTTATTGCCCTTTAAAGACAATTTTACACAATTTGTTTATCATGTTTGCTAACATTTATAATATCTTCTCCTCTAAAACTACAGGGTCAAATACTTCTTAACTTTAACTGAATGTTCCTTAGGGTATTTAGTTTATAAATTGTATCCGAAGTTTTGATCCATCAACAAACTTGGCCGCCGTGGCTAAAAATAGAACATAGGGGACAAAAGCCTTTTTGGCTTATATCTCAAAAACTACAGCAGTTAGAGCAAAAGTGAAAGATAGTAACAGTTGATAAATGAGTCATGATCTATTTTTTTATGAAATTTCAGACCAGTTCGACAACCCTTTGTTGAGTTACTGTTGAAAATAGTTTATTTTTTTCTAAAATTTACTGTTTTTGGTTATTTTCTTTAATATTTTAATAAATAGAGAGAAAGTTTAAATGGCAATAAATGTTCAGCTAAGTAAGGTATACACATAAGTCAACATGATCAAAATAGTCAGTTGACCCCTTAAGGAGTTATTGCCCTTTAAACGTTTTTTTTTTGTTACATTTTTTGTTAAAGTCTATTTCTTTTTCAAATTTTTTTTTCTCTGAAACTGCTTGGCCAAATACTTAAAACCTTTGATTGAATGTTCCTTGAGGTATCTAGTTTATAGATTGTGTTCGGGGATTTGATCCATTCAAAAAAATTGCGGCAGTCAAATGAAGATTATGGCTTTTATCTCAAAAACTAAAGCAGTAAGAGCAAAACTGACATAGGTGAAAGTGTTAAACAGGTTTAGATCTACTGTCAAGCAATCTTCAGACAAAAAGGACAACTTATTGTTTGGTTACTGTCCAGAAATAGTTAATTTTTAGGAAATTGTAGAGTTTTGGGTTATGTATTATCTTTAATATTATTATAGAAAGAGAGAAAGTGTAAATGACAAAATTGTTCAGCAAAGTAAGATCTACAAACAAGTCAAATGCTTGAAACTGAAATTACAGATGAGCGATATCAGGCTCTCATGAACCTCTTGTTTATTTGTTTTGACACAAAATGGGTTTAGATACTGAAGGCATTGCTACTATTGAAGACATAATGTCTTTAAGGTGATTTACAATTTTGTGATTGTTGTTGTTCTAAGCAAAGACCATCAATAATCGTTTTAACTTTTACCATGACATCTTCAACACTACAATTTGTGACCAATTGTATTACATGAGGATGAAGTGTTGCTAAATGGTCATACGCTGTCAAGAGTGTCTGCAAATACTCTTTCGAAACGTTTTTCTCTGCTGTTCTTCCGCGATTATTAAAAATAACATCTTTTGGAGCTGTTAAAAGAACAAGCAAATCAGGTTTACGCGTCCACAAATTATAGTAATGATCTAACAGGTTAAACGATCTCTCAACCATTCTTTCTTTTAATTGTTCTACGAAAATCTGTCGACCACACCATAACCCCCGTTCTTCTATGATCGTTGAATGTGTTGTATTCCAGACGGGTCGAATTAATTCCTTTAGCGCGAGTAAAATTTGATACTGTAATGCAAGTGCATACTCTAAAACACCTATTTTCTTATGAACCATTTCAGTGTAAAATTCATCTAAAAGCGTATACTGTTCAACAAGTTCATGTAAACACATGTGTTTTGTTTCTTTTGCTAACGGATATAACAATGTACTTTTACCAATTCAAATGGGTCCATCAATGGATACTAAAAAACTCTTGTTGTTTACTTACTAAGTTGGACCTCTTTAATTTTATAATGTCCATGTGCCAGAGTACTGATACCATCAGGTAAGATGTACCGTTTGCCGTCATCAGCTGAAAGGGCTTTCTTATGACACTCAAGCGTATAGATATGATGTCCCTTACTTCGAATCATGTTCATGGTTCGGTAACTTTCTTTGTAAATATCTATACATGTCTTGTAATTATCAAAAATAAGTCCCTTTTTCACAGTAGCCTTTTTAATTCCTTTAGCCCTTTTTATTTCAGTGTCACCCATCTTGATACAATACAACCTTACACGTAACCCTACGAATTCAGTCATGGGTTCACCTTCACATTCATTCTTAAACATTCACACATTCATCCTTAAACATTCAAAGGACTTTAGGGTTTAATGTTGTGTTAATTCCAGATGAATGATTCTTAGGTTAATTCGATGTGTCAAACCATTGTTGTCCATGTTCATTCAATTCCTTATAAACATCTGATGTTTCTATTTTACAAATGATGATATCAGTGTCGGTGTAAAAAATGGTAGCCTTTTCTTTGTAAGTAGGGTTTAAGTATTTGTAAACAAAGTCTGTCATTAAAGTCTTCGACAAGTCAAGAATCGAAAATCCTAACAAGGTCGGTTTGTCAAATACTTTCTTAGTCTTACACAGGTAAAATAGCTACGGACGTTTCACGGATGTGGTAATAAACGTCCGTAAAACATCCGTAATACGGATGTATTACGGATGATACGGTTACGTCCGTAAAACGTCTGTAAAAATACATCCGTAAAACGTACGTGTAAAAACTGATGTAAAACGGATTTTCCGTTTCACGGACGTTTCTTAAACATACGTATTACGGACGTTTCTGCAACATCCGTATTACGGCTATACTAGTATCTTATTCAAAGATGTAAAAGTACCATGCATGATATATGCACAACGGCTAATACATGCATAAAGTAAAATTCTTAACTTGCTTTCAACATTCTGCATGCCAGACATACATGTGTATAGTGAATCTCTGCATCAAGCCTATAACTTTTAATATTTGCATAATATGAGTACATATGAAGTGATCTTTTTCCGAAAAGACCACATGATTTAATTAAAAGTATGAAATATTAAAATAATTAACTGACAATGTCAATGACTGATTTATAATCCTTTTCTCCAGAGCATTTTTTTTTATATACTTCATTTGCATAGGATTTTTCAATGAAATGCAGAAAATACTTGTACTTTAATGCAATGTTAACTGTACATGAAAACGTTTCAATTGATGCACTACAACACAGCGGCATCATTATAGAGGAAAGGGTTAATTATAGAAATTTAATGAAAAGTGTATAGTAACAGGAACATATATATTGATATACTGTCATGACTGTTCCCAGGTAGTAATTAACAAAATTAAATGGAAAGCTTCTTAACAACAGTCACGATGATTCAACAGTTTTCTCATTCTTTCATACATGTATAATAAAAAAGATAGTGAGTTTCTAAACACTGAATTTTTTCATTGCTTCTTGATGTTCATCATGAACATCCATTTATTTAATTTAAGATATGGTTGTACTTTTCCATCAACCATTTTAAAACATATCTTCCAAAAAAAATCTAGAAAAGGAGTCAACTTGTGAGTGAAATTATATAAAATTAAAACAATGTTAATTAAAAAAAATATCATTTTCCTGTATGTAAGGTCAAATAAAAAAATATGTGTGTTTCTTATTTCCGCAACTACCCTATATTTTAAGCTTAGAAATAGCCTACCCTAAAGTTTTTTTGATTTATCAATAAGCACTGTTAAAGTCAGAATTTCTCTCCCATCAGCCCATAGACTCAATGTAAAAAAAAAATGTAAAATAAGAAAAATCCCCTACCTATCCTATTTTTTCAAAGATGTAATAGGAAACACACATATTATTTCATTTGGCCTAATTAAGAAATAAATGTAATTGAAAAAAAATCTTTATATTTTTTAAAAGATTTTATTTTTAAAAGCTTGTCCTCGCAATATTAAGTTGAATTATACAAAGAGTGCTTGGTGTCTTTCCCACAAACAACTAATGATGGATGGCTAATTAATTGCCATGAATGCAGTTAAAAGAATATAAAAATCTAACATTTAACCTTATTTGTAACGCTTGAGTAAAAATGACTGGATGTATATATATATAATAGGAATCATTCACGACTTTTCACGCGTGGCGGCGCTGCGGTTCCATAAGTGGTTACTTGAACGCTTCAATCACGTAAAACGCTTGCATCAGTATTTACAACGTAAACAATGGCATCCGATGATTACAATACCTGGTCTGTTCCAGAACTAACGTTACGTGGAGCTGCCACAAGAGACAGAAATATAGATCTTATAGAAAGGTAAACGATGTATTTAAAAAATATTGAGATTTCTTCTATTATAAGCGGAAACGCCGCTACAGTACATTGCCAAAAAGCTTTCGTCACCTACATTTTTGGGCTATATATTTCATATAAAAAGACGTTTATTGGAGGCATTTATGGTTGTATTTTTACAAATAATGTGTTGAAAAACGCTGAATTGTATATAAAGAGTATTTGTTTGTTTTGTCATAGCTCTGTCATCTGTCAATGTCTGTTGTTTTTATTTTCTCCTGATGTGAACACATATACATGTACCCCAAGTTAGAAAAAAGCAAAATAAAAACCCCACTGAACATATAAATAGTCATGAATATATAATTAAACTTTCTAGGATACATTTAAATGATTTTGTATAATAATAATTAAAAATAGGGGTTCTATACAGATATTATCTGTTGGCCATGAAATGTGATACAGACCATGCAGACTGGGCAAGGGAAAATTAAATTTAACTTGTTATATACTGGGACTATTATACTAATAATCTATTAGTCCCAGTTATATATAAACAATTTATTACTTTTGAAAATGGGACAATTACACAAGGAAAGTATTAAATTCTCCCAATACCACTTTTAAACAAGACATGATTCTACATTTTTAAGCTTTAAATCTTGTAATATGTCTCAGCTTCATCAACTTAAAAAAAAAGACACTGTAAAAAAAATATAAAGGCCCTTCTCTGCAACTTTTTATATATAACATGATGGGGCCATTTTTGGAAATTTTAAAAGAGATGTACATCTATAATGAAGTTTTATTTGCAATTCAAGTTCAAACAAGGAATTATTTAAATATGGAATAATTTCAAATTCTGCAAAATTGATTAGAACATATTTATGAAAACTAACCCAACTAAATATTTTTTAAACTTAGAAATGTGGTCCTTATACATGTAGTTCTACGTCCTTTTTGAATCCTATCTGTTCTTGGCAGATAATCTTATAAGATTCTAAATAGTTTTCTAAACTATTATACTCTAGAAAAAAATGTTCCTTAACTAGTAAAAAGGGTTATACCTCTGTTGTTTGAAGGGCTATTAAAACATCTTCCTTTGAAAATGGGTTAAATAAATTTTCTCTCCAATAAGAACTTCTTGCTAGAGAGAAAATTTTATTAATTTTTAAGAAAAAAGTAATGTTTTATAATTTTATATACATGTCATGCCCAACATTCAGCATACAAGAATTTTTCAAAAATTTCATTAGTTATACCATTAAATCCACATGATATCTTGTTTTTCAAATATTTCATGGCAAGCAGAATTTAATCTATGTAATAGTACTTTAAAAAATCTTTACCTACATGTTTTAAAAAAATTCAAACCATTCCTTAGCTTGTTTAATTAAACTTTGGCTGGAACATGCATTAAATATTTGTCACTGGACATTAAGATTCCAACAATCAATCAATATATTTGAACTTGAATCATTGATTTCTTTCCTTTTTGTCTAGCCTTGACAGAGTCCAAAAGCAAGACATAGCATATATTAGGTATGCTGTTTTCAGCGTCATCAACAATGTATTAGTTAGTAAAGTAATATAAAATAGTGAAATATTGCAGACATTTTCTACTGGTAGATATTTGTAACAATGAAAGACAATATATTCATTATACAGTTTTCATGATTAATCGCACAGGCACTTGTCTCAAAAAAAAAAATTCCTATATACCTTAATATAACATGTGTTATAGGAAATTTTTTTCTGAGACAAGTGCCTGTGATTAATCGCTAGCCCTTCAAGGCCAGGCCAGATATATTTTTTGTAAGTATAGATAATTGTTAATGTGTCAATCCTAGTCAGGAGCCTTTAATTTAGTAGTTATAGTTGGTTAATTTCTGATATATATACATATAATATATTTGTTTTTTTATTGTCTTATTTTATAATTTAAAATCAAGCCATTAGTTTTCTTGTTTGAATTTTCTTTCATTTTTGAATGTTGTGACCTTTGTAGCTGACTAGTTCTGTGATTTTTTCTTGACTGTATTGTATTTAATATTTTGACTTTTTTTTATCTTTTGTAGAATCAATTAGAAGAGCCAAAATTTATAAGCTTAGATTCAAAACATTCTGGAGGAACAGATTGTGTGAAGGTATTTATCCTTTTATAGCCCCAATCTATATCACAAAAATGTATTTGTGTTAAAATATACAATTACCATTAAGGGAGTTGATTTTTTGTAAGACCAAGTAAAGGTTACAGGTCCTAATCTCAGTTGGGAAAATGGTACTGTACAGTTTTATTTTAGTACTGGTGAACTCTACCGTTACAGACTCGTATGATAATAATACACCTGAAACTCCACAGATGTACGTGTATATCTTCCGAATCCAGCCACACTGATTAGATGTCGCTTTTCAATATAAATTTTTATGAAAACAGACTGGATTAAAATAAAATTTTCTTTTGTAATTTGATGAAATTTAAATTATCTCCACTAGTTTACTCACTAAACAACAGGACTAATCTGTTAACATTTTCTTTACAGAAGCAACAGAAGTCAAGAGAAATAAAAAGAATGGAACAAAAGAAAAATTGAAAAAGAACAGTGAAATGACAAAATTAAATAAAAATTTTGCATTTCTTATTGTTGTTATCTTGTGTATTGTTGACCAAGACAGCAAAGAAAACCATCGAAAAGCTGTTCTGAGACAGAAAATGACAGATGCTACACATGATCAAACAAAAGATAAAAAAACACTTCTAAGAAAAAAATTGTTCAATGCTGGACCAAATGAAATGCATGAGGATATATATAATCTGAAATAAAATGCTTTGCTGAGCGCAGCCTGATACGACCGCAGAACCCTATAGGTGTAACACCACTAATTCGGCCCGGCCAGAAAGCACATACCAGAAAGTAGTACATATTTAACACAAAATAGTTCCTACACATGAGTGTAACTTTCAAAATATGTAGAATATTTAGGTATTGTTGGTATCAAATAAAAGCTGAATGAATGGTGATCATTGTAGAACACTTTTTGACTTATAATTTTGAATATAAAAAAAAATGCACTAAATTTTATAAAGAGGGTACTTTTTGCCTGTATGTCAGATCTGAAGTACCTGTTTTGGTACATCCGAAGTTCCGGGAACCAGTTCTTTCTTATATGCCATTAAAGGTATGTTGATTTTTCCGGTACAAGACACCATAAAGTGTTGCTTTGACATGCAATGATTGTCACTTTATTTGAACTTGAAACAAAAGAGCTGTGTCTGCTTGAAATTGAGGAATTTAACATAGAAAGCAATGGGGCCATGAATTAGTGGTGTACTTCCTATACAGTTGGGGCAAATTTGGACACAATATTCAAGCTTTATACTGTCTGAATTTGGATTGTAATCAAATTTTTGACATAATATAGGTTTCTGACACAAAATAAATGTGGTCAAAGATCTTATAAATCCATTGCGCAATACTGTGCAATTGAAGATTTCTTCTTGAAACTTTTCAAAAATTCGAAATTTTAAAAATTTTGAAAAAAAAATCTGGATCCCTTAAAAAAAATTGTGAAAAAATCCCCCCCCCCCCAACTTTTTGAACCCCTCCTTGGAGCAATAATCCCAAAACTCAATCCCAGCCTTCCCTTTGTTATATGGAACCTTGTGGTACAATGTCAGAGAGATCCATACTTATACACAAGTTATTGTCTGGAAACTAGAAAAATGCTTGTTTTTGGCCCCTTTTTGGCCCTTAATTCCTAAACTGTTGGCCCTATTACCCCTAAAATGAATCCCAACCTTCTACTTGTGGTATTAAACATTGTGGTACAATTTCAGAGCATTCGATATACTTATACACAAGTTATTATCCTGAAACTAGAAAAATGCTTGTTTTGGGCCCCTTTTTGGTTGGGACCATCATCCCCAAAATCAATCCCAACCTTCCTTTTGTGGTATTAAACCTTCTTAAAAAATTTCATAAAGATCCATTCACTTAAACTAAAGTTATTGTCCGGAAACCAATGTGTCTTCGGACAACAACGCAGATATGCGGTATGGGCTTTGCTCATTGTTGAAGGCTGTACGGTGACCTATAGTTGTAATTATTTCTGTGTCATTTGGTCTCTTGTGGAGAGTTGTCTCATTGGCAATCATACCACATCTTCTTTTTCATATGTGTTCAGTGCAAAATCCAAAAAAATGGACTATTCAATAAAATTGATATCTAAGACAGGAAATATTGGGGTTTGTCAATGAGACATTAACCCGACAAAAATAGACAAAATATATATAGATTAAGCCGGCATCAACAGCATGCAGACAAATGTAAAAGGAGATGTGGGGTAAAGATCAGTATGACGGCAGTTGTTTTCTCAAATGTGGATCCAGGATTTTGAATCTAGATAAAGTGACCCCCCCACTCCACTCTGAAGTAACTGTTTTAAAACAAAGTCAATGTAGGACTTTCTTTGAGATATTATTGTGTCTGGGAGACACAATTGATGCCCCCGTAGATGCAAAGTGTTATTTTAAAATAACTATAACATATAACCGCTTATACCCCAAAAACGACAAAGTTCAACTATCTCCCAAAAGGGCAAATATCAATAAAAATCAAAACCATAACCACATGCACATCTTCAATATATGTACAAACAGACAGCAAAGTGAAAACTTCCTAGGATTCTAACTGTAGGAGAAGTTGTGCTGAATAACTATATACCCATAATGGGACGAACGGACAGACAGACAGACAGAAGGACAGACAGGGGTAAAATAATATGCCCCAACTTTCAGTTGCGGAGGCATTAAAAGGGGTCATCAGGCCCCAAACTAGACAAAGTTTTGAGAGTAATAAAAAAATCTGGATTTACCATAAATGTAGCTCCATAAGGGCCATAAAGGGGGACCCAGGCACCCCACTCCTAAATCTGTCTCTGATATTAAACATTGTTTTTTATGTTTCTGAATATTTTATAAAAAGACTTGAAAGATTATGTTAGAAAACATTTTTATAATGATATTTCGAATAACATTTAAATGATTTTTTAATGATTTTTTGAGAATATGAAGATTATTAAAACATTTTTCAAAACATTTTTTCCTGCAGAAATGAATTTTTATGTTTTAAAAATGTTTCAGGGATAATTGATTAACAAACACATTCAAATCATTTATAAGACATTTTACAAACATTGTCGTCAAAATTCAGTAACATTTTAATGATGTTTTAAAAGTATCATGAAAATGTTTAGAAAATATTTTTAACGCCATACATTTTTGCATGAATTTGATATTTTTCTACAATATTTTTTCAACATTTTTTTTTGGTGCTAACTGGGAAAGCAGTGGTGAAACAGCACCACATTAGAACAAATAATAAAATCAATTGCATGTAAATCCATTTCATCTTTTATGCATATTTATTTACAATGTATTTTTATGAAATTAGAAAGAACACAGCAAACACAGATAATTCTGGAACCAAGTTGAATTAGAAGTTTCCACGTGGAATTACATGTTTCAGATTGTTTATTCCCCTGCCACAGCGGAGGAGGGGCATTAAGTTTTACCCTTGTGTAACTTTTAGATAATACAAGGACTCTTTTAATGTGAATTTCGGTTGGACGACACTTTTCTATCACAAACTACTTTCTTCTGATCTAGATGGAATTTCCCTTTCAGAAAAGTTTGTGTGTTATTATAAGGAACTGTCTTGGCTAGTAGATAAATCCTGTTCCATAATTCCACTATTTGCCATTTGTTGTCACCTTTGTCAAATTTTTTTTACATCTGGTTCTGACAGAAGTATTGATCCTCGCACTTGCAGCCACTTGGATTTTAACCATTAATTCATTTCAAACATAAAGATGTATCCCATTCATCACTTCATGGTTGGGTAAAAAGTCTGTTATCCATGATGGCTTCTGAAATATTAAAACAGGAAAACACAAAGCATCATGTTATTTAATAAACTGCAGGTTCAGAAATTTTTCTTATCATTCATAAAGGACAAGCGTTTAATGCAGGGATGTGTTTGATGTTTTTTTCTAACAAAAATACTCTTGATTTCCAACTTTGAAGAATTAAAAAAAATTGGTCTGACAGCTTTTGCCATAAGTTTAATGTAAAGTCCTTAGAAAATTCAGACTTTATTGCGACAAACAAATAGAAAAATTATGCTCATATGTACCATGGTTTTTTTTAGAATGCAATATAGGGATTGTCATATTTCCCAATACATGTAGTTCTCTTCCTTTCATGCATTGTTTTGTCAGGGAAATATATTTCACTTGCTATAATTAAGTGCACAACATAATTATTATTTCTTATTTACAATGCAAACAAAGGTAAAAGGGTGAAAAAATGTGAAGACTAGGAAAAAACTTACAAAGTGTGAGGGTATATTTGAAGAATAAAATACATCCCTGTGTCATCCCCCTATTTTAATAAATAATAACCTGTCAAATTTTTGGGCTGTTTAATCGAGAAAAAATAAAACAAAGAGGTTAAATACTGCACGAAATATAAGAAAAATATAAATGCATAATAACCTAATCCTGTTGTTATATAATCTCCTGGCATGACATGGTTATCAGCTGGTTATGGCAAACTTGATCGAATATTTTCCGCCGGGTTTCCCTAGATATTTTTGATGGGTGGATCAACTCTCTTGATGCCTTCTCTCCATTTTAAAAGAATTTCATGGTCTTTTGGGAATCTGTGGTCCCTCTTCAGAATAATTGCAGCCGGGGACACAACAATTTTGGAGCTTAGTTTGGAGAAATTAGCGAGTGTCGATTGTAGTTACTAATGTAAACATGTGCAACGTAATGCGATTCAAGCGTCAAATTGATTAAAACGTTTCCGACAACCACTTATGGAACACCAGCGACGTCTACAGGAAGAAATATTACGAATGATCCCTATTGTACATGGCTGAATTAAAATTACCGCATTATGGCGCATACCTGGTTTCTTCAAATGAGACCAATGGAAATAGACCTGACTGTTGTCAATACTTGATTGTTGATCATTCTGATTATCTGTCCAAGTACAAAACTATGCTAACAAGAAATTGCACATGAGCATATAGAAAGTACTTGAAAAGTTTCAGATTGTTTGATGTCTGAAGTAGTTTCTATCCTGTTCAATGACTGAATGAGGATCATGAGATTTAGGGGGAAGGAAACACTCTTATCGTGTTTAAATCACGACAACCAATGCAATAGTCACATGGTGTTACTGTGAGCCAAAATTTGTTCCTGTGAAAAAAGTTCCAGTGGAACTAATATCACAGGAAATATGTTCTGGGAGAACTTTTTTCACAGATGATTTCTATATAATTTGTTCCATCTCTATAAAATAAGTTCCACACTTTACCTGGTGAAATAAGTACCGGGTTGGTGAAATTTGTTCCTTACCTGGTGAAATAAGTTCCGGGTTTATGAGATTTGTTCCTTATCTGGTGAAATAAGTTCTGGGTTTGTGAGATTTGTTCCTCACCTGGTGAAATAAGTTCCTTGTCTGTGAAATATGTTCCACTGGTTAAACAAGTTATCTTATATACTGAGCATTTGTCATCAGTGAGTTTAAAGTTATCATTCAAGTGCATTATAAAAATAAGTATTATATCAATAATAAAAAAAGTAAAAAGTGTAAATCATCCAATTCGGATCCTGTGGAGTATAGCAAATGTTTAATTATATACTCCGTAAAAAATATCAAAATGACACTTTTCAGCCAGAAAAGAGTAGAATAAGAAAAATCAATCATTCAGAAAAAGAGTATAGTTAAAGATGAACATATGTACTTATTTGAAAAGGACAAAGTGACTGATCAGTTATATCAAAAGACATGTAGAAACAAAAGACCTTAGTACATGTATGACTAGAACACGCGGCCATGACAGTTAACAAAAACCAAGGCGGAATACCACATAAAACATAAATTATGCTACATTACCATCGCTTTTATTTCTTATCTTCATCCTTTAGTTACAGTCATGCCTTCAATTGCAAATGTATTCCATGCAATCACACTCAGTACAGCACTCAGCTTGCATTATAATTTAAATGTAGCAAGAAAATATTTCGCTTGCAATTTGTTGCAAAGGTACGTATTTTCTGTGTAAAATAGGTTTGAGCGGAACTTATTCATTGATTTCTATGAAATATGTACACGTTCGTTTAAAACAAATATCACAGGAACTTATTTAACTTTTTAAAACTCTAAATATTAATTGGAACAAAATTCATGGAGCTATGATTTTTGTTCCGGAACTTATTTCACATTTGGTCATAAAAAATAGTTCCGGAACAAATATTACAGTGCTGGAACATATTTTCTGTGATATAAAGTCCAGTGGAACATATTTCCTATGAAATTTGTTCCGGCGGAACAAATGTCACGCCGGAACAAATTTTTTGTTACATTACTTCGTCCCTCATACCCGCCCTTATATTAAAGCCCTTATACAATGCATCTGAGACTACTATAACCTCAGACTATAACATAGTGTTATAATAGTCTCAGAATAT